AGATTACCAGGAGTTACTACTTGATAATAAAATGTATGTAATTAGATGTATTTTTAAAATGATAAAATTGTGGGATCAAGACTAAAATTTTTGCCTTTTCCTACAGATGAAGAAATGAAATCACTGAGTTGTCTTGTGCAGCTAATAAACAGACGGAACATTCAAGTTATTTTGCAAATTATTCTATTGTCAGTTACTGCCTCTAGCATAAATAAAACATTTAGCTGTGAACAAATACATATGATCTTAAAATAACAAGCCTGTTTTAAATGTTCTGTGAACTGTAAAAATAGAAGCCTAAAGTTTGGAAAAAAAACAAATGATAGCTGCCTATTGTGAAGTTTAATTTCTGCTGACATTTTTTCAATTTTTCCTCCCAGATACATTTCTTGATGTTTTTTCAGCTTACATACTTTTGGTGAAAGCAATTTATCAATATTTCTGGAATACTAACACAATCTAGTGGGCTAAAGATGACTTATTTCTAACACAGATGGAAAATAATCATATTTGCACAGTTGTATTTGTGGTGTTTATTTCCACTTTGTGTCAAACAGAGTTTAAAGGCTTGGGAAAATATTCTGAAATGCTGACAGATGCACAATCACATGGCATCTTGTTTAACACGCTCATAACTACCAGTTTTCAACATTTCTTTCACCATAGTCTCTTTGGGCATGAACTTCAGAGTCTATATATAAAATATTATTGAGGCTAAAGTTCATTTGATTGAACTTGTTGAACTTGCACAGTGAATTATGCAGCGTAACTGAAATATGACCGACGTTCTCTGTTGAGAGAATACTCATAATTAATTGCATGCATATTTCTTTAATACTTTTAATAGTATAAAATAAACATATACTTACTTGATCCCATGTTATTTATGAATCATATAATCTTGTACTGTGTACTTTGTCCCAACAATAATTAATCTCTCACTTTTACTTTCTCTTGCTTTTTTACAAGAATGCTCAAATCAGGATTTACTGAGGAATAATGTATTTAAAGATTAGTTTTATTAAATATTCACATATTTTAAAAATAAGCATTTTTAGGTTACAATGAAAAACACATTTACCTAAGAATAAACCCAACTGGGTATGTGGGTTCGTTCTTCTGAGCAGACATGCACAGGATTGCACTGGTGCTGGCACAAATACATTATCAAGTAAGTTTTTATAATATTACTAGGGAAAAATGGTTGGAAGAAAATAAATGATAACATAGCATCTTCATCTGTTTTCTGTCATTTTATTTCAAGACATATAAAAAAATGGACTCCAATATATATCTACCTTCATTTTCTTCAAATGAAAGGCCAGGGCGACTGTAATTTTATTTATTGGACTTATTATGATAGTCCAGACAGTCTGTCTCACTGCCCCACCCTATTTTTCTTGAGCCAAAGTGATGTCATGTCCAAAGCAGCATTAAGACTTCATTGCTACAATTCTAGTTTTTTCTGTAGTCTCCACCCTCTTTCTCCTCAGTATGACACTACAAAAACAACTAAGAGGTTCATCAGTGACCTTTCTAATGGCAGGCACAATGGAAGCAGAAAATTTTACAAACTTTCATTTCCATAATAAGGAGGTACAGTACAGTAAAAACAAATCCAGTGAAAGCAGTAATAAAAAAAGTATAACAAGATTATGGTTCTCCTCCTACTCATATAATGCTGCCTTTACTAGCCTAAGAGACAGGCTAGGTTACCAGGCTGACAATCATGCTATCTAAAGAAAATCAGAATTAAAAAACAAAACAAAACAGCTATTACAAGCTTATTTCGCTAAGAATAGTTTGTCTTTACATCATCCTTTCCCAATCTGGTGTTCTTTTGAAGTGTTTGACTGCAATTTCCATCATCCCCATCCATCACACCTATGTTAACTGGAGATAATGAGAATTATGGCTGAACACCTCTGGAGTAGATCAGGTTAAGGAAGGAAGGCATCATATTTTACATTATATATTAATTTCACTTCCACTCTAAACCCCAGATTCTATTAAACAATGTTATTTAAAATAATTAAAGCTGACACCTATTTACCTAGGAGAAAGTGCATTAAACTAAGTAGGGTTATATATTTTCAAGGGGAGTTAAATGGAAGATACGGATAGCAGAGTTAGCAAAAGATAAGCATTATCTTCCAATCTCTACACTAAGCCAAACACTAATTAGACAATACAAGGCAACCTAGAATAAAATCCCACTTTTGGATATTAAAAGATACCAATCATGTAACATAAATGAAAAACAAAACTCATGTATCCACTCCCACACTCCATTATCAGAAGTAAATTGCACTGAGTCCACATAGAACTTAAATACAAGTCCAGGTAAGTCTATATAAGTAAATTACCTACAGCCATTCTTCACTTTTAGAACAGTGCTAACAATGTCAATGAAATTGTAAGGCTACAGTGAAATACATTTTTAGGTTTATATTATTGCTCAAATAACTATACTACATATTTAACTTATATCATTTATCAACTGACTTATACAAAGTAATAAAAAAGCTACAAACATGATACTAAGCATATTTTTACAATGAAATTTCTGTGTAAAATAGCAATAACATAACCCTATGCACAAACCAAATTTAAAGATTGTTTTTACAGACTGACTTTCTCAGAGATGTAAAATAGAGTCAATCAGAATATGTTTAACAGAAGTTTTATAACAGGGCATCACACCAGAATGTTAAACAGCTTCATTAATTTATATGAAATGGACAACTACTTTACATCTAGGATAGCTCTCAAAAGATGTAGAATTCACTGCGACTTTTGCCATCAAATAAACAGCAGTCATCAACCACTGAGTCATCACTGGTTTTTTAGAAAGTAGCACTCTAAAACCAGGGAAATAACACTTCTAAACAGTACCACGATTTAAACACAATGCACCATATGTTGACTCTCAGCTTACAAGTTTGCCTGGCTCTTTGCTTCCCCCTTGTTTCCTCCCCCCATCCTCTATACATCTGATTAATACCAGCTGTTTCCCTCGATCTTTCCATTCAAGCCCGCAGGAGCCTTCTTTCTCAACTTTAAACTCCACTCTGCAGCCGAGATACATACAGCCATAGGGGACCTTGGGATTGGAAATGCAAAAAGGAGGAGACAGCGCTTCCACTGCAGAGGTCCAGATCTACAATTTACTATATAACCACACCCACCGCATTGCAGAAGCCATGAGCGGGGGAGAGAGGGGGTGGCGGGGGGGTAATCAAGCTGGAGCCCACGGAGAGACAGCACGATGCCACCAACCGAGTTTCAAAAATGGAAAGCCACGCCAGATGGGTGCAGCGAATTCTGCAAAAGAGCAGTCAAGTTGAAAGAAACCCAGGGACGTGCACAATTCTAAGTTAAACAAGCGCGGCGCGTAAAACCACATGGCGTTTAAGGCGGGATGAAGCTACTTTTACTGCCGCCAAAACTACTTCGCAGCATCCCCACAGAAGTTGAGGCATTTTTCCTTCTTTACCAAATGTCTATCTCCCCCGCCCCACCCCTTTATTTCACTTCCTAGCACTAAAAAGACTGAAGCCAGATCATCGTCAATAATTAATAGAGGTAATCATGGACGATGGTTAACGGACGCCAATTACCACAAGGCAAGGCGCACCGCCGTCGCCAGAAATCGAGAAGTACCGAGAGCGGCAGAGGGCCAAGGTGAACGACTACTAGGAACTTCCTACCCTTGGAAATGAGATTTCGCTAAGAATTCGTCCCACTAAGGAAAAAAAGAAGGCCCAGAAAAGGAAAACGGCTTTCTGCACAGAGCTCCAAGGGAGGCAGCGAGGCTGGGACTCACCCGCGCATTTCAGATCCAGAACTCAATGGACCTATTCAGACAGCCACGCAGTGCAGTTCACTGACCTCCCTATGTGGTAAATCAGGCCACTGGGAGCCCTCGCCATCGCCATCGCCTGAACGAGCCCTAGGGTCCTCTGAAAAGTCCTGCACCATCAACGAAGGCGCTGTTGGGGCTGCGTGTATCCTATTTTGTCAGGGGATTCAGCCTCCCCCCACTCCCCGGCCGCACAAAAACGGGGGAATGAAAGGGCAGGGCCGTCGGGCCGGATGCACCCAGACTCAGCTGCGCGTTCGCCTGCAGTTTTTGCTAGGTGACCCTTTCATCAAATGTATTGCAGAGGCAAGTGGGTTGCACGAAGCGTGTCTGAGCAAAAGTCAACCCTGCCCCCAACTCTGACTCCGCAGACTTCTTCCAAATATTCCCTCGCCCGATGGGCGGCATAAAAGAGACGAAGACAGCAACATACCCCCCCCCCCCCCCCACCACGGTGCCTTTATACTTCGGACCGCCCCCCATCCCCAAAGGGGGGCCGCTGCAGTCTATAGTTACCACTGGGGAGGGGGGGAGTCAAATCG